GCCGAGGGTGGACATGCCAGCATCTCCCAAGAGACAGATGTGCTCCGGATGGAAATCATCCAACGTAGAAGAAGTGAACTGACAAACGTTCCTGGATGCACATCAGATCTCATCGATTGAGGCCCGACGAAAACAATCTCGATCAGGACATTCGGCCACTGGCTGGGTATCAAGAGCATTCCGCTGCGCCTGCAGTGGCCCCGCCTCGCTAGCAAGGATATCGCCGGGCCGACTCGACAGACATCCTGGCGCTCGCTCCGCTATGCTTGGGTTCCAGAACTGCAGAAGGCGCGCGATCTTATGCATGAGCGTGGCAGAGCCATTCAAAGCCTCGTCGCACCACTGTTTCTAAGACCCAGTGCGTTGCTTCGTGGCGGCGGTGGCGGCATGCTCGAACCGCGTGATCATGCGCCCGGCGAAGGCGGAGGCTCGGTCCCACCGCGGATGCGCAAGCTGCGAAGGATACTCTCTCACCAGTTCACGAAAGGCCCGCACCTGCGCATCAAGTCGAACATCCAACCCGGATAGTCCTCCGCCGTACGCGCTTGATGGAGCTCGATGACTGCGGCGTTAGACTGCGGCGCGGGATCCTCCTCCATGGTCATCTCAACGTCGTGGCATGCTCGATAAAACCATTTCCATCCACGGCGCACGTGAGCGTCATCAGTAGCATGTAACTCTCTTCCCAGGACTGGAACCCATCCTGCAGCACCGATCTCTGGTGGCCACCTTCACCGGGAAGTCCAAAACATCTGACATCTGAGAGCTCCACCTCCGCATCTCTCCGAAGACAGTCCACGCGTGGTTGAGCTTCTGCTGGGCCGCCGGCACTTCGTCGTGCTCAGCAGCATGCGCCGCGTGATCAGCAAGCTCTCTCGCAGCATGATATGCTCGGGGTCCTCGCCGAGGGCCAACAGGAGGGCAAACAGGGGGGCGCGCATGGGGGGTGTAAACCAAAAGCTTCAGCTCGAGAACACCAGGCCGCACATGTAGTCGGACAAGCTTGCGAGGGCCTCCATGCGAACACAAAATGTAGTCAATGGTCGTCGCCGTGCTCGACATGATGCATGCGCGGCGGGCAGGCGCCACGGCGCATCAGGCCAGCTTTGCGCGCGAAGCCCGACTCCTCATCCGCCTGAGGTCCAACTTTCCAATCAGCACCTGCCAGGAAAGAGTCGAACCTTTTGGCGACGCTCAAGCCTTGCATCCTGAGGATGTGCGCGTTCGCCTCGCCGAGGCCCGCCGCGCAATGCGCGCGCGCAGAGTGCGCCGTGATCCCGGGCCAACCAAACACATCCACTTGACTGAGATAAGCCGTCCCTTGATGATCTCGCCTCCTGCTGGGCCCCATCTCAATCCCAACTCCGCGCGGACAAGGTCTGCAACTCCCGCGGAGTGTGATACGCGCTCGCGCTCAAAAGAAGGACTGCGTAACATGCGGTATGCGAGCGTTTGAGCTGCGCGATGTAGATCAGCAGCTGCCGTATCCGCTGTGCCGATCTCCTGCGCACATACAATTCGCGAGTCTGAAGCGCGCAGTCGATCGAGGATCGTGGCCCGACTGTTGCCAGTGCGCGACTCAAGATATTGCACCTTATCATCCTCACATGTGGGAGCACCTCGAAAACCTCTTAGCTGCGGAACCACCTGCCCCGCACGTGTCGCGGGAAGTCCACGCAGGTGCGGCACGGGTTGGGACGATGTCGCAGGCCGAGGCTCTCCATCACATCGAAGGGGGTCAGGAATACTGCACCTTGGGGCGCTTGGCCACCCAGGCGTGCAGCTGCTCCTCGAACTGGCATTTGTTCCCCGCGAAGGCGAGCAACTTCTCCACATCCTCTGGCGACAGACCGTGGTACTCGGGCATGGGTTCATCACGGGGAGCAGCATCACCTTCTGGAGCATGAGGTGGAGCGTCCGCTGCAGCCGCATGGGGGCTGGAAGCGATCGCCGCCTCCTTGAGCAGCTGCTGGTACTTGGCGGAAAACGGGTTTTGTAGGAATTCTTTGATGCCAGCATTCGCATCCAGGACTTCATGTGGGAGACTGGGGGTTGATGCAGGCTCCGCCGCAACGGGCAAAGTCCTGTGCAGCTCCTCTGCGAGAGCATCGACCTCTCGCTGCATAGCGGCTCCGTCCTCAACAAGCCCGGCGAGGGCGTGATATGCCTTCGCAATGAGCTCGGGCTGGGACTGTATACTGCACCGTGCCCCTTCTCAAGCTTCTTCTGTGCTGACTGAAGGCGGAAGGCTGCGTACGTGTGCTGCTGAAGAGGTGGCTCGCTGCTCCTTTGAACAGCGCGGGCCTCTCGTAGCTGCTCGTGCAAACACTTCTTGGCTGGATCTGCATCGTCGACCTGATCCATCTGATTTGAGGGCATTCTCCAAGGACTCGATTCTGAGCGCTCGCAAATCGTCAGGATCCTCTGAGCGAGGAGCAGCATCGCTATGACTGTCGCCACCCTTAGACGCTGAGTCTTGGAGTGCCCCTTTGAGACGCTGTTCCAGCTTCTGGTCCATGGCTTAAGGGTGATATGCTGGATGAGATCTGGGGGTGTGCCCGGCGCCCGGCGCCCATCTGGCCCTTTTGGGGTGCATTGGTAGGCGGCGACCTCTCGCCCTCCTTGGCATTCTTTTTTGCTGCCTGCACCACGCGCTGAGGCGCAGCAGCTCCACACATACACTTGATACGGCAAGCCCAATTCGCAGTGCGAGCACGTTGCGAGCAGGCCCAAAGAGGCATGCCAGGGCCTCGAAGCACGGAAGCATCGCCAGACATGCTGCAGCAGCCGTGGCGACTCAATAGCTGAAAAACCTTGGCCCGCCGACGTAGGCCGTTCTGAAGATGGCGTCGGCAAGCTCAGAAATCTCTGAGCCTGAACGGCTGGAGGAGGAGGAGGAGGAGGAGGGGGAGTAGGAGGAGGAGGAGGAGGGGTAGGAGGAGGAGGGGGAGGGGGGGGAGGAGGGGGGGGAGGGAGGAGGAGGAGGAGGAGGAGGAGGAGGAGGAGGAGGAGGAGGAGGAGGAGGAGGAGAGGAGGAGGAGGAGGAGGAGGAGGAGGAGGAGGAGGAGGAGGAGCGGGAGAAGGAGGGGGAGGGAAAGAAGATGAGCTTTGCTGTGGGCTCGGTCAAGGAGCGCGCCCGTACTCCAAGCGGCAGACATGCAGGGCGTCGGTGTCAGCGTTGTGATCACGGTTGGCCCGACAGAGAGCTTCAGATTGGCCAGACCCAACACAACTAACGAATCCCACCCTTCCCATCGTCTGGGTACTTGTGTCAACACTCACCCAGACTCGCACCGAGGGGTCACGAGGGCAGTGGCCTAGCATGGTGTCAGTCCGCTGGCCCTCATGGTACACACACAGTCTCTCACACAAATGATCATGTCTTGGGGGCTTGCGCCACCAATCGGGGGTGGATCTAACCCTGGGGGTTCAACTGGGGAAATCAAAAAATACCTCTACCGCTACTCCCCGGACCTTTACCGGGGTGCATTCTGACCAGGAGTTCGACGCGAATCCAGCAGTGGTGACGAGGGGTTCCCAGGAAGACCAAAGGAGGGGAAACACGAGGGAAGAGTAGCGGTGTGGATACCTTTTCCTCCTCCGACAACCCGGAGTGGATATAGTCGGGGCTAAACACCTCTAGCAGAACACCTTTTATCGAAAACGAATCCGGAACAGGCCTGGCGGGCGCAAACCCACGGACGGTACGGCCGCGACACCCTCTCAAGAACCAAACGAAAAAGACAATTCGCGGATCGGCTCGGCATGGATGGAGGAGGCTCTATCAACGTCAGAACCATAGGGAAGCACAAGTCAATGCCTCGACAAGAATCGCCTGGCCAACCCAAGCCTCAGAAATTCATGATGCAGCTCGAGACAATTCGCGGATCGGCTTGGCATGGATGGAGGGGGCACAGGGAAACGCAGGTCAATGCCTCGACAAGAGTCGCCTGGCCAACCCAAGGTTCAGAAATCCTTGTGCAGCTCGGGAAACCCGAAAAGGGGGCTCATCGTGCAAAGCCTTCTTGGAAGCCTCCGAACCCCTTCTCAGAAGCCCCCCTGGCTTGTCAGAAGGCCTTCCAGTCGCCCCGCCCTCCCCTGCCAAAACCCGGTCGAAACGGGCCCTGGGACCCCACCCGAAGCCCATCCTGGCCAGTTTTCCCAGTCGCGTCTGGCTGTGGCGACGAGGGCGTCCTGAAACACCGAACAGCATACAAAACGACGCCGTCATCATCGTCGCCTTCCCCATCTGGCCCGGCCCCGTCCCTGTGTGCGCCGCCGACCTCTTCTAACTTTTGGACGCTCGAAGTGGTTACGGAAACCATGGCACGATGCCCCACAACAACTGTGGTCCAAAACCGACAGCGGCCGCTGTTTGGGCGGGCGGCTTTGTGTCTGCAGTGGACAACGTCCGCGGCGGTCCGGTTCAGAATGAACATGACCTGCTGTTGGTCTTTGCACCCATTCTTTCGCACCCATTTCGATTGTCCCGACAACTGTCGGGGATCTTCTGACTCGGGTCAATCCAAACCCGGGTCTGTCAGCCCTTGCAACATCCTGCAAGACCCTGCAAGATCCTGCACCCAAGCCCGGGTCAGCGCGAAGGATCCTGCAGGATCCTGCCCCAAAGCCCGGGTCAGTGCGACCCTGGCCTCTGCAAGATCCTGCAAGATCCCGCACTCTGGCTGACCCCCGTTTGCATTGACCCCCGTCTCAAGGCTCCCGACCGACAACTGGCTTGGCCCCCCCCGTTGATCGCCGATAGGGACCCGATTGCCCATTGATCGCCGATAGGGACCCGATAGCCCCACCCCGCCCAAGAAGGTGTGGATTCACGATCGGAGCCTATCGCCGATCTATCGGCGATGTATCGCCGACTCCAGGTCGATGCACAACCCCCATATGCCAATCCCCCCCTACCGTTGCCCCTGACCATGTCGATTGTTCCGACAACTGGCTGGGCCCCAGGCTCCCGACCCGCCCGCGCCCACCCCGACGGCCTGCTCGCTGCTGAGGGCCTCGCAGGCCCTGCCCCCGTGGCTCGGCATCGCCACGACCTGCCGCCAGCGCTCAATGCTCACTGACGTCGCGCAGAAAGGGGGGCCCCTGGACAACGACGCCGATTCGTCGTCGTCATCCTCCTCCTCCTCCTCCTCCTCCTCCTCCTCCTCCTCCTCCTCCCCCTCCTCCGCCTCCGCCTCCGCCTCCTCCTCCGCCTCCGCCTCCGCCTCCTCCTCCTCCTCGCCTCCGCCTCCTCCTCCTCCTCCTCCTCCCTCCTCCTCCTCCTCCTCCTCCTCCTCCTCTCCTCCGCCTCCTCCTCCTCCCTCCTCCCCCGCCTCCTCCTCCTCCTCCACCTCCTCCTCCTCCTCCTCCTCCTCCTCCTCCTCCTCCTCCTCCTCCTCCTCCTCCTCTTCCTTTCTGGGGCGATACATCGATGACGACGACGTCGTCGACGCCGTCGTCGATTCGGAAGCTTCGCTGGGCGTTTCTGGAGGGTCTCGTCGCCACGGCTGGACGCGGTCCAGAAAACTGCCTGGGATGGGCCCTGGGAGGTGCCCAGAGACTCAGAGACCGGTACGGAGCGCATTCTGGGGGCGGGGGGGAGGGGCGAGCGAGGCGCGGGGCCCGAGGGAGGAAACGTCAACATCAGATGTTGTGATGCTATTTGGCCCGTCCCCAGGACCACTTGTGCAGACTTCGCCTTGCAACGTCTCCGCGTAGGCTTCGACCGCGCTGTGCGTCCGCCAGCGCTGCGACTAACAAGTTGTCTACCCTTCTTAGGGCCTCCTGGGGGTGAGGGGGGCCGTTGGCGAGGCACTGGCTCAGGGGGGAACATCGACCTGGAATCGGCGATACATCGCTGCTGATGGGCCCTCGCTGTCGAACCGCACGTTCCTTGGGCGGGGTGGGCTGTCGGGCCCTCTCGGTGATGAATGGGGCGATTGGGGTCGATGCCATGCCTCCCCCCCAGGCTTATCCCCCCCCTCAATTTTCGGTCGGGGATCTTCTGACCCGGGTCAATCCGATCCAGACCCAGGTGAGTCAGGCCTTGCGGGGTCCTGCAAGATTCTGCAGGATCCTGCACCCAAGCCTGGGTCGATGCGCCCCTGGCCCCCTCTACAGGCGGATTTTGGACGACAGATTAAGAAAGTACATCCCAAATACTCCCAAATAATCAAAACATGCTCAGAAATCGTCCCCAGACTATTTTTTGGACTATCTTTGACTTTGCCTCCTGTAGAAGGACGCGCCCGACTTAACCCTTGAGCCCCGCTTCGGGTAATGATTCGGCTCCCCGGCGGCCGCTCGGGAGACGAGCTGGGCGCCCCCGGAACGCTAATAGGCGGGGCGCGGCGGCTGCTGCTGGAGAGAGCAGGCCGAGGCTGGAAACAAAGCTGCCGGGGACCGGACAACAACGCCCGACGACCTCAGACCTCGAGCCACAACGCTGCCCCCAGAAGAAGCCTTGCATGATGGGCCTGTTTTCCACCACCACCGCCATAAGTTGGAGGGGGAGGGGGTCCTCTTCCTCCTCTTCGTCCTCCTCCTCTTCGTCCTCCTCCTCCTCCTCGTCCTCCTCCTCCTCCTCCTTCCCCCCCCCATCCAGCCCATGGTGGTGGTGGTGGTGGAAAACAGGCCCATCCTTGCCAGCGCGAAAGAGACGCACACAATATATAACTCCAAGGCATCGCCAATGCGCAGTCAAACTGCGGAGTCTGCATCCCGCCCGGGGGAGTACGGGAATTTTATGACTTATGGGTGGGATCTGGTGTTTCCTGAACTAGAGCTGCATTCGACCACATCAGGGGCGCGGGATCCCGCCCAGACAACGCAAGACGGGTGGTTTGCTAGGCTTCGAAGGGGTGGGGTGGGGGTGGGTGGGTGGGGGGGGCCCCACCCGAGGCCGCTGGCGTGGCGGGGTGATCGTGATGGCAGGCATAGCATGCCATCGGGCGAACTGACAAAAATCCAAAAATCACTTTCGCTATACCGATGTATCCCTCCTCCCTCAGCGCTTGGACGCCCGAAATGGGTACGGGAAACATGAGTACGATGCCCAACAACACATGTTGTCCAACACCGACAGCCGCCGCTGTGCAGAAGGCGGCGCTCTGCCTCAAATGGACAACGTCCGCGGCGACACCGACATCGAATCCGGTCCAAAATGGACAGGGCATAGTGTCGGCCTTTGCGCCCATTCTTTCGGCACCCACTTCGATCGTCCCGACCAGCGTCAGGTCCGGCGTGTCCTCCTACAGGCGGATCCTGGACGAAAACTCCAAAATAGTCAAAGAAATACTCCCAGGTGGTCCAAAGTGGTAAAACAAAATCGTCCCCAGAGTACTTTTGACTATCTTTGCATACTCCTCCTGTAGAGGGGACACGCCCGACGTAAGCCTTAAGCCCCTCCCCGGGGGGGGCGCGTGGCCGCTGCGCCTCTGGGCGCGCGTGCGCGCGAGAGGCCGGCTCCCTACTGCTGCCCCTCTCGCCTGCCCCGCCCGCTCGCTCGCCGCCGCGCCTCTTGGCGGCGTGCCCCGCGGGCAGGCCGCGCGGCTCGCTGCCGCACGCAAATCTTAGCTCGGGCAGGTCCCCCCGCAGGGAGTTTTTGGCGAGCAATACCAAAAATACAAAACAAAAACATCCAACAAATACTCCAAAATGATCAAGAGGTCGTCCCGAGGCTATTTTTGGACTATCTTTGAATATTTCCTCTGTAGAGGGACAGGTCCGACTTAACGAAAGTTGGCCCATTCGCACCGGCGCGTTCGCGCGCGCACCGCCGCCGCACCTACAGGCGGATTTCGGAGGACAAATAGAAAAAAAAGTCAAGAACTGCTCAGAGGTAGTATAAAGTAGTCGAAACATCGTGCCCAGACTATTTTTTGACAAAGCTTACATATTCCTGCTGTAAGTAAGTCATGAAGCAGGAATGCGGATAAAGTAGATTGTGCTCGGGCACGCCCAGAGGGTAACCTAACGCAGAAAAAAAAAGATCGATTCTTGAAGTAGGAATGCGCTTGACGTAGATCGGGATCTGGGAGTCCAAAAACACCTACTTTCAACGACCGACGGCTAACCCTCTCCAGAGATGCCTGGAAGAGGTACCTCGACGCTCCGACCGCGGGGGCAGGGGGGGTGCGGGCACGATGCGCGGCGACGCGGCGCGGTCTGGGGCGCCACCAGATCTGGGCCATGACGGTGCAAAAAAGAACTCCTTCTCCTCCTCCTCCTCCTCCTCCTCCTCCTCCTCCTCCTCCTCCTCCTCCTCCTCCTCCTCCCTCCTCCTCCTCCTCCTCCTCCTCCTCCTCTCCTCCTCCTCCTCCTCCTCCTCCTCCTCCTCCTCCTCCTCCTCTCCTCCTCCTCCTCCTCCTCCCCCTCCTCCTCCTCCTCCTCCTCCTCCTCCGCCTCCTCCTCCTTCTCCACCTCCTCCTTCTCTGCCTCCTCCTCCTCCTCCTCTTCCTCCTTCTCCTCCTCCTCCTACCCGCCGCCGCGTCCCCCTCTCCGTGCCACAGGACATCCTCCGCGCCTGCCATACGAGTGCGCCGGCGAGCCCAGGGGGGAACGCAGAAAAGTGGGCGGGCCGTCCGAGGAGTATCGGAAGGCCTCGGGCCTGCCGAGAGGCCTCCTGAGCCTCCCCCGAAGACGGAGGCGCCTTCCTGGAAGGCCCCGGGAGCTTCTTGTGAGAGCCCCGCCGACTTCGCCAGGACGGCCTGCCCCCCCGTCGCACTTCCCCGCCGGGCGCGCCGCCGAGGGCGAGCTCCCCGTCCCACCCCGCCGCCTCCGCCTCATCCTCCTCCTCCTCCTCCTCCTCTCCTCCTCCTCCTCCTCCTCCCCCTCCTCCCCCCCCCCCCTTCCACCTCCGCCTCCTCCTCCTCCTTCTCCTCCTCCTCCTCCTCCTCCTGCTCCTTCCTCCTCCTCCTCCTCCTCCTCCTCCTCCTCCTCGCAGCGCGCGTGGCCAAGACGCCAAAAGAGAGTGGGTGAGTGTGTGCATGTGTGTATGATTCGTACCAAGAGGGGTCCAAACGGGTCGCTCTAGAGTGCTCTACAAGGGCCAGTGCCGCACGCTGTATACTGTAGACATGCCGATTGATTGCATCCGCATTGGGGAGGCGTGAGTGTGTGTGTGTGTGAGAGTGTGTGAGTGTGAGTGAGTGTGTGTGTGTCTGCCTGTGAGCACCCCAATCCGCATCGCACACCAGGCGTGCCCACGTCTTGCTTCAGGCCCCTGTGCTCGTGGCTTCCAAGGGGAAACAGAGAGAGAGAGAGAGAGAGAGAACGTCGATGGCATCCGCGCCGCACGCCCCGGCTGGGCCGTCGCAACGCACACGTATCAAGACACGAGAAGGACATGACACAAAGGCACACAGTCGACCCGTATCGTGAGGCTGCGAGGCAAGGACGCAGGGGCCTTGGACGCCCATTTCGAAGCTTTTCGAGCGGGGCGCGGCCAACGAAAGTGGCGAAGGATGGGCTGAGGAGAGAAGGATGCAAGGGCACCCTTGGGCCCTTGGGAAGGTTGCCCATCCTTGCCATGCGGGTCGACTGTATATCAAGCCCTAGGCTGTGGAGAGGCCCCGCAGCCTCCGCCCGCCCCCACAGACGGATCACCGCGGCAGCGCAACCAGCCTTCCCGAAATCGGCCACCGTGCTCCCTGGCGAGTTGAGGCGTGGTAGGAACGGCAGATGACCGACGCAAGATGGCGGGCCGCCAGCGCGGCACGCCGCATTGCCAACGAGGGCGCTTACGCGCGGTCTTACGCATGCAGCTCACGCGCCAATGTCGGAGAAGACGACCCAACTTTTCTACGTCGCTCAAGTGCTGTCTGGTAGTCGGGTGAACTCTAACATGGATGAAGGATTCGTGGACCTGGCGCGTGCGCGACAGATCCTCGGATCGGGGAACAAGGAAACCTCGAAACATGAAGCCAATGCCGCCTGATTTGGCGACGTAGCGCGTCGATCGCGTCGATGTTGCATGGAAACGGGACCAGCCGCTACTCCACGCGCCATCCTACATGTGTGCGTTTCCTTGAAGTGGGGTTCACGTAAACCTGATCGGACAAGAGCAGGGAGCGCAGATGTTGTCCTCTGGGCTCGTAGGCATGATGGCGACAACCAGGCGGCGGATGACGAGGATGGCAACATGGATTACGGGAAGGGCCACATGTGACGGTCCTTCTCTTCCTCCTCTTCATCCTGCTCATCCTCCTCTTTCTCCTCCTTCACATCATCCTCATCCTCTCCTTCCTCCTCCTTCTCCTTCTCTTCCTCATCACCACCACCATCATCGCCGCCACCACCACGTTCATCGTCTTCTGCGCCATCATCACCAACATGTCCATCATCATCGCGATTACTACAATCACCATAATCATCATCGTCAACATCATCATCCACATCATCATCATCATCATCAACATCACCATTACCGTCAGCATCACCGTCACCATCACCGACACTATGAATGTCATCATCACCATCAGCATTATCATCAGTATCATCATTATTATCATCAGACGCCTCTTCATCATCCTCATCATTATCCTCACCCACGCCCTCATCATGTCAAATCGTACCATCAGCATCATCATCTCAGTCATCTCCATCTCCATCACTACCACAATCATCATCACCATCACCATCATCATCACCATCATCGTCACCATCAACATCATCAACATCATCAGTACCAGCATCCGCATCAACATCAACATCAGCATCAGCATCACCGCCAACACCAACATCACCATCACCATCATCAGCATCAGCTTCATGGTTAACATCAGCATCAACGCCATCAACGTCGTTGGCGTCACCATCTTCAGCATCATCAATTCCACCACCACCACCACAATCACAATCACCATCACCATCACCATCACCATCACCATCACCATCACCATCACCATCACCATCACCACCATCATCATCATCATCATCGACATCGACATCACCATCAACATCATCCTCATCATCATTATCATCACCATCATCATCATCATCATCATCATCGACATCATCAGCATCATCATCATTCTTAGCATTACTACTACTACTACTACTACTACTACTACTACTATGATTACTGTTACTATCAGCTTCATCATCATCATCATCATCATCGTCATCATCATCATCATCATCATCATCATCATCATCATCATCATCATCATCATCATCTCATCATCATCATCATCATCATCATCATCATCATCATCATCATCATCATCATATCATCATCATCATCATCATCATCATTATCAAAATCACGGCTCCCCCTAACCTGGCGAGACGAGGTGCCACACGTGACGGCCTCTCGTGCCCCCTCGAATAATAGCCACCCAGAAGACTGGACTGGCACGGTGGTTGGACCTGCCGCAGGCAACTGGATACTCCATCAGGGCCGCCCGTCCCCCAAGGCCTGTCGGCGGTGCAATTAAGCCGAAGGCCACTGGATTTCGGTCGCCGCCACTCAGCCCGCCACTGCCTATTGGCCCCGTTCTCCCTTCCGCATCCTGCGCCCAATCGGGGGTACCAAAACCGTGTGGTGACGGACCGCGCGGTGACCCCGAAATTCCCATAGATCCCACCGCGCTGTCCGTCCGTAACCGCACGGTCTTTGGACCACGGAGGCCCCAGTCGCTCGAGACGTCCTCGGAGAACGACCCAAGTCCCCAAACCGTTCGGTGACCCCAAATTCCTACGGACTCTCCACGCGGTGTGGCCACCATATCGTTTGAGGCCCCCCGAAAACTGGTCTCTCCCCAAGACCGTCGGAGCCGGCCGCGAGGTCTCTGCATATGTCCTCGGACCTCGATTCTCGATGCGGGCAAGACTTATATCCATGTCCTCTGCGTCTTGGAGTTTCTGGGAAGGGGCGCCAAAATGCCGAAGCGCAGTGGATGTCGATCAAATTTTGCCTCTAGGGGCCAGACTCTTTGATCTACATCCGCTGCGCCTCTGGTTTCTGGGGAGGGGATCCCGGAACTCCAAGACGCAACGGATATGGATACAACTCTTGCCCGCACTCGAACCTCCCTCATCCAACCTGGCGTGAAGGAAGCGGGTCTTGTGAGCCCCGGGCGGGTCTGCATCTTTGCGGCGCATATGGGGGCCCTGGCAGTCCAGGCGAGGCAATTTGAAGGCCGATTTGGGGCGACATTTCGCGGCGGCCGGGAGGATGGCCGAGGTGCGGGGCCGGTAGGATGGCCGAGGTGCGGGGTTCGAGAGGATGGTCGAGCTGGTAACCAACCATTCGGTGCGCGACTGTCCCAGACCACCTGGTTCTTACAAACCGGGTCCTGGACCTCCCGTGGCCTGGGGCGGGGCCAGGAGGAGGAGGAGGAGGAGGAGGCGGAAGAGGAGGAGGAGGATGAGAATGGCTGTGTGGTCGTGTGGAGGGCCCCCCAAGAACCCGAGAACGGGAACACACATCCAGGACTCCTTGCCTCCAGGACCCGCTTCCTTCCTGCTAGATTCTCGAACCCTCTCTCTCCACCCTGAGTCGCGGAGGAGGTGGAGGGGGAGGAGGAGGTGGAGGAGACCTCTCTGGTCCGGTAGTGGTGCCCGCCGTTACAGGAGCAGGAGCATTCGCTCCACTCGTCCCAGTCGCCCCAGGCGCAATCCTGGGCGCAGCGGGTCGTCGTCGGCACCAACGGCAAGGGGAAGGGGCAATGAGGAGCGAGCGGGCGACCATATTGCACATCAGCGCGCCATCACCAGAAACATGAAGCAGGTTGTCCACGTGCAGACCCGATGGCAACTGTGGTGGGCGGAAGGAGATCGAGGATACAGTCCCTTTGACGTTTCTGGGCCTTCAGAAACCTCCGAAAGCATCCAGAGGCCTCCAGGTACCTCCGAGGACCTCCAGGGCCTTCGGTAGACCTCTGGAGACAGCAGGTCGTCCTCGTCGTCGTCGTCGTCAAAGAACTTCTCGGCTGTTCGCGTGTTCTGGACGGTGCGGGAGGTATCGTCCTCCTCCTCCTCCTCCTCTTCCTCCTCCTCCTGGGTGTGAGACACTTTCTCCTCCTCCTCCTCCTCCTCTTCCTCCTCCTCTGCGCTGGGTACTGCGAGCTGCCAACTCCGACGCTGCCCTCACCTCTTCGGCGGCCAACGCCGCCATTGGGGGCGGAAGTTTAAGTGTCTCTTACATAGAAAACAGTCAAAGGGGGCCGCAGCGGGCAATATACATGTATATATATAAGAGAGAGAGAGAGAGAGAGAGAGAGAGAGAGAGAGAAAGAGAGAGAGAGAGGGAGACAGAGAGAGAGGGAGAGAGAGAGAGAACAAGAGAGAGAGAGAGAGAGAGACAATTCTTACGTGACCCTGAAATAGAGGAGGAGAGGAACTACAAGTACCTTCGCCTGTTTGCGTGGCAGCGGCCACGCCGGGCAGTGGTGCTGGCGGGGGGAAGCACCACCAGCCCCCAGCACGGGAAGGGCAACCTTCGCCGGCCCTTCTTCAGGGACCTCCCGAGATCTCGGGGGACTTAAGAAGCACTCAGACTGATCCAACTGTACAAGGGTAGGACTGTGGCAGGCGCTGAGGCGAGAGCGCAACTTGGAACAACCGAATAATGCTCCACGCGGAAATACTCGTACGAAGAACGAGCGTCTGCAATACTGCGTGTGATATTCTATACGCGCTAGGGCGGATCAATGATTCCACGTGGCCGACTTGGGAATAGAAGCGAGTACTACTTATGTTTCGGGGTTGTGGAGTGACAGGGGTGTGGCAGGCGCCGAGGCGAGAGCGCCATTCGAACAACCAACAATGCTCTTGTTCTGGATGGGCATAACAAACAAATCATCCAATTGCCTTAGAAGTCCCGCGTGTGAAACGTCACACGCGGAAGGCGCGGGTCAAATCTTGAACGTGGTCAGGGGAGACAGGATCGGATTCATGATGGGTCGTTGTAAAATTCCACCACAAACGAGAAAGGGAGAAGGCGGAAATTATGATAAGGCACAGGAGGAGGTCACCAGACGTCTCTGGAGGCCCCTGCCTGGATATTCAGACTCCTCCGGCAGGCTAAAGGGAGCAGCCCCCGTCCACAAACCTGTATCTTCGAACCTCGATCCGATCGATCTTCGTCCCCGTCTTCAGGACTCCCCTTCGAACAGTCGCCACACGCGACAGTCGCCAGCGCACCGCCGTCACAGGTCTGCCCACATCTGCGCACAGCAGCGGGGTGTGGACGAAGACTGGGAGGGGTGAGGTAATTGCGCAACGCCGTCGCCGCCACCTCCCAGGAGATCGTTGGGAAACCAAGAGGTACCGACACCGCTGACCCCTGGACCTCTCCTGGGGTGCGTCCTGACCAGCATTTCGAGGCGAATCCAGCGGTGGTGACGAGGGCCTCCAAGGAGGCCCAGGAAGGGGAAAACGGGCGAGGGGGTAGAGGTATGTGGGACGCACAAAGACGTACTAATACTATATGTTCTCCTTGGAGGCGTGCGTCCGACCGGAACATGTAGTATACCCATCTTGTAGTCTATCGTTTCCCGAGCTGTGTGGCCAGAAAGCGCCCACCACGACGCATGTACTACAAGGTTGCTTGGTGCGCGCGTCGCCCCTTGGGGGGCGACGCACATATAGTAGAAGTATGCTGGGATGACGCCGAGTATGGGTACCTTTTCCTTCTCTGACATCGACGGGGGGAAAACAGTCCAGCGGCTGCGCTGCTGCCGGCGCGCCCGGGCCTCAGAGCCTGCACGGACGTCCCCCTTCCGTTCCCCGGGAGGGCGCCGTCCTGCGGGGTCGGGCACTCTTCGTCCCCGTAGGACTGATGCAGCCTCGGCAACGGACAATCGATCGCACGCGATTGACACCTGAACATCACCATTCAAGCATGTGTGTATACATATATATATATGTATGTATATAGATTTCCCTCTGCATATATACATTAATGGATGCGATTATAGAAATACAGGTACACATGCCTATGTATACACGTATTCATTCCTGCATGCCTGGCTTGTGGCTGGGTTATACCCATGGCGGCAGTGCGACGCGTACGTCGCAGGCACGAGCGGATAAAGCATGGACGCGCATCCCACCGATCCAGAACAGAAAGGCAATTCCGTGGCCTCCCAGGTGAAGGGCCAGCCAAGGCGAGCCGCACGCTCACGCGCACACGCACGCACGCGCGCAGACTTTTCATCGGCGAGGCGTCTGGCACAGAAATCGTAACCCAAAAAACGGCCGAACGCGCGCACACCTTTCCTTCGCCAGCGCGTTGCCACTTCCGCGCGTCCACAAATCTCGGGATGCGAGACGGAACTTGCACAACATCACGTGCCCACACATTTTTGAATGGCGGCGCGGCCGCATGAATCATGATGCAGCAGGGCCAGGTCAACCGAAACGAGTCCCAGGCTACACGCGCGCCTTGCGCAAACTCCTAAGTAGGCCCGGGGAGGAGCGTGGTGCTCACCCGTAAGGATGCGCGCTACGCACGGGCGACGAAGCATGACCTGCACGCGGCAGGAGCGGGTCAAGTCACCCATTGGGAGGCAGCGAACTCACGAAAGGAGCAAGCGGGAGGGACAGTAGGCGCATGATGAGGTCTCAAGGCAGCAAGCTGCGAGGCGGAGATCCTGGGCCGCAGCGGCGGCGGGCGGAGGCAGGGGCGAGGGGCGAGTTCAGAAGGGCGCGTGCACTGCAAGAGCACCGCCTAAGGAGGCGTAGGACGGCGCGGACCTCGGCGGGCCTCGCGGGAGTGCTGCCCAAGGTTCTGGTTCACAGTGTGGCCGCCTGGTTCCAGGAACCCCAGGAGGGAGGCTAAATCACTGAGGGCGCACATCACAAACATAGACAGACAGACCGACAGACAGACAGACAGACACGAACCCACTCACAGACATACACAGAACGCAGACACACAGAGACACACGCATGCACACTCGCACACTCTCTATTGCGTTTGGCCTCGGCGCGCCGATGAGCTTCAATCGATGGTTCAAGCAGTGCTGATGTGGGACACGCCTAGAGCAAGCTGACCAATTTGTGTGGGAGCGTGAACAAGGCTGAATCCGGGTGGGAGACGGGCCACACGCAAACACATACACATACACACACGCACGCACAACCATAACCACAAACACAACACACAACCACAACCACGACCACACACAAACACAACAACAGCCACAAATACGCAAAAACAGCACACACAAACACAACCACAACGCAACACACCACACACACACACACTCACGCGCATCACCACAACACACGACCACAAACACACCACAACACAACACGACACAGAAACACAAGAGCAAACACGATAACAAGAACAATCACGCGCACAAGCAAACGCACAAGCACAAGCAACAGTAGACACACAGCCACACGAACGCATAAACACACGCACACGCACACGCACAGTCAGCCACTCGCGCACGCGCGCGCACGCACACGCACACGCACACGCACACGCACACGCACACGCACGCACACACACACACATGCGCACACATACAAACACACACACACACACACTCACGCACACGCGTTCACACCACCCAGCAAAAACACCATACGCACACACACGCAAACACACGCAAATGCACACGCAGACGAACCCGCACACGCACGCACACACACACACTCACCCACACAAACACACGCACACAAACGCACACGCACACGCACACGCACACGAACACGCACACGCACGCGCACACGCACACGCACTCGCACACGCGCGCGAACACGCACACGCAGGCGCACACGCACTCGCACACGCACAATCGCACGCGCATGCGCGCACACGCGCACACGCGCAACCGCGCACACGCGCACACGCGCACATGCGCACACGCACACACGCGCACACGCGCACGCACGCATACGCGCCCACGCGTACACGCGCAGAGGCGCAGAGGCGCAGAGGCGCAGAGGCGCAGAGGCGCAGAGGCGCAGAGGCGCAGAGGCGCAGACGCGCAGACGCGCAGCCGCGCAGCCGCGCAGACGCGCAGACGCACCACACGCGCACACGCACACGCACACGCACACGCAAACCCAATTACGCGCAGACGCGCCACACGCGCACACGCACACGCACACACACACCCGCCCACCCACCCACCCACGCACGCACGCACACGCGCACGACCACGCACACGCACACGCGCACGCACACCCACACGCACACGCAAACGCACACGCGCACGCGCACGCGCACGCGCACGCGCACGCGCACGCGCACACGCCCGCCCGCCCGCACGCACGCCCGCACGCCCGCACGCAAACGCACACGCACACGCACACGCGCACGCACACGCACACCCACACGCACACGCACGCGCACACGCGCAGGCGCACGCGCACGCACACACACACACACACAGCCGCCCACCCGCTCCGCGCGCACGCCCGCATTCGCACACGCACGCGCGCACGCACACGCAGCACACGCACACGCACACCCATACGCACACATACACACACGCGCACGCATACAAACGCAAACACGCACACACACCCGCAC